TACGCGCGTAACGCACGAACGAACGAACGCACGCACGCACGCGTACGGGTTAACTCGAGGGCACAAAATAATCTCAAACGAAATTTATCAGAAAAAATAATTCCCACCCCCTTTGCACCCCGTAATAAATAAATAAAATTACAGCAACAGAAGGCGTTCGGTCGTAGAACGCCGCCGCGTTCGCGTATAACGTACGTCAAACGTATAATAATATTTAAAATAACGCGGCGTAAAATTCGAAAGTAAATCGAACGTCAGTTGAAAGGTGATTAATAAAATTTTTTGTGGTTTTATTTTTTTATTGTGTTAGGTACGTTTTGATTGATAATTCCAGGCCAGGGCGATCGTTTGTTCGTTTGTTCGTTTGTTTGTTTTGTTTCTTAGTTTTCGAGTGCTTTAAATAGGTTGATAGATTTCGAATTGGTTAGGCGAGGGGGTGAGGGAGGAAAGAAAAAAATGAATTGAAACGTTTTTTATTTATTTATTTATTTTATTGTTGTGTCGATTTTATTATTATTATTATTATTATTATTATTATTATTATTATTATTATTATTATTATTATGGTCACTCTTAAACACGACAAGGCTCTTATTTGTCGGGGTTTTTAAGTATTTATCCCAGGTTTCTACCCGATTCCTTAGGGACAAATACTCGAATATCGGTGGTGCTATTTATAATATTTTCCGAAGAATGTGGGCCGTCCCACATAATGCGATTTCCTGGATGGTTATTATTATTATTATTATTATTATTATTATTATTAATGTCGCCATTTTTCAAAAAAAAAAATTTATTTAGAGAACGTTTATTTTTTAATTTATCGACTTGGGGGGAGAAGGGGGTAGGGGAAATTACGATCATTATTTATAAATTATAACGCGTTGTGTCAATCATGTCGTCGCATTGTTTTTCAAATAAAAATAATTACGCGCCAATTTTTTTTTTTTGAAATTTGAATTATGGGAGCGTTTATTATTATTATTATTATTATTATTATTATTATTATTATTATTATTATTATTATTATATTATTATTATATA